GTATAGAAAATAATTATGCTTTCATGGATTATTAATATAGCCCAATGCGTTAATTGGAGGCAAATGAAAACTCACTTGATGTCTATAATATATTGCATATGCATTTACGTTATATAACACAGACAGATTGACGTTATAATCTTTTAGGAAGATCTTCAGTTGGTCAATGTGAATATCTTCCATTCTGGATAAAAAAAAAATGAAACACCATACTGTAAAGGGCTGTAGGACATGTCAAGATATTATTTGACACCATTGTCTTTATCAGTTTTTGTCACGAGAACATATCTCCTATTGTTTGCCCCTATTGTTTGATTATGAAGTTAAACCATAAGCCACGAAGATTGTAATTCACCTACACCGAGTATGCAGGTCCAACATTCTCACTCCCACATAGCCTCCGGTTGAATCTAAACTCCTGTTTTCACAAGTGCCTGTACAATATGGGCATTCACATATCGCTGTGTCCACGTGCCTCATTCCTGAAATTGATTTGGGACTACACATGTTTTTGCAATGTTTTCTTGCGAGTTTCAAGGTATACTTCCGTATTGTATTTCACTGCAGCGTGCTAACGACATGTGTAGTCCTAGAAATTAATTCTTTGGTGTCCAACTCGCATGTCTGGTATGTGCAATATTCAGATAATTAAGAAGTTTTACAGACATGTGTATGATAATTTTAATAATGCAACGTGTACATATTATGGTTCATTCGAATAACTGCACATCACCAGGCAAAAATACTTCCATTGTTAGGCAGTTTTGTGAATGGCGGGTGCTGCCGGCAGTCAGGACATGCTTACCTTTGTCGCGAACACCTGGTGTCATCACTGATTTTTAATGATCCATTCATACATATGTCACAGCTATTTTGTTCCGTTTGTACCGAACGTAAATGTTTCTGAGGATAGTCAAGATTGGGTACTTCTATGTTGAAGACATAGCGTCTAAAATATTTGGATATGAAATTACAGCTGAAATAGCTGGCACACCAAAATGTATGTACAGACATATACCGTTATGACGGATTAGCTGAAAACGCTCACGTGAGCACATTAACATTGTAACCAACATACATTATAAAAATCGCATTTTCTTTTAATAGTGAATTAAAGTTGGTAAATCGACCATATGTCATTGTCTCAATGAACTTTATATCATTATATGATTTCAGCTATCTCGAATGCTTATGTGTCTCGAATTTCTTCCTATCTCGGTACCTGCTATAATTTAGTTAGATATTAGTGTATAGTATCCAAATGATTTCTATCACAGTAATTCCATTTACTCAGCCATTTGGTTATCTTGGTACCAACTAATGATGGTATTAATTATAGTACATATTTTGAATCTCGAAAATATGTTCGCACTTTTGGAGAAGGTGAATGTGCTTCAGTACATTCAAATCAAAACGAAAAAACTGCTGGCTCAGTTGTCCAGGGAGTTGCACAGGTGGGTTCAAATTGTAGATTCGATCTGATTGTGTTGCTGGCTTTTTCAGCCTCAAGTTTCGGCTTTCAGGGAGTTTTCAGCCGAAGGTAAAATTTATTAAAAATGTATGAACTTAAATCCAAACAAGAAATAGGGGAATGAGTTCCATTCAGAATAAAAATGTGCATTTTTTAGATGGAATGTCTGTGAACTTAAACACGGGAACAAATTGCTAAAGGTTATTGGGACAGGGAAAAATATATATCGTCTCGGCTTGTTCAGCCATTTAGACTAACAAGGTATCTTGTGTCCATTGATAGATTCTGTGATATGATGACATTAGATTTGTACTCTATCAATCCTTTCACACCTTTCAAAGACACGTATTTCACGCAACGTTTAACTCGTGCTCCTAGTGCTTCCATGTAGGATTTAAATGTAGTCAGGGGAATATCACTCTCAAACAGGATTATAGTATTTGTATAGCATTTGAGATGTGTGGGATATTGAGACAGCATGGCAGGATATATTCCTGGAGCTAACATGATTTGGGAATGTGTCCATTGGCACGATCTTGCTGATCTGGGGTTTCAAAATGTCATACATGAATTAATTGCATTTAACATCTGTTTGATGAAAGATTATAGAAACAGAACGTTTAACGCAAAATTCAGTATGTTTTCTACAACAAAAGAATTTACTTACTTTGTAGTTAGAAACATAACCCCGATGTCTTGACTGTGAAGTGTTTAACTGTTTCTCTGACGGTTCTCCGCCCCCGTCATCACATTGGACTTACACTGAGGTAAAACGCACGGCGTGTACACTATTACACTAGAACTTTCACAATTATACCATTTGATCAAGTTAAGGAGGAGCAAAGTAAAACAAGTTCAGATCCTTCTTGCGAAAAGATAATATAAAGTATTATGAAGTCACTTTTAATCTGGTTGTGTGAACGGGAGTGTGGCGCCACATTGTAAAGCCCAAGTATATATATTTATACAGACATGTGCAGAAAGGTACAACAGGTATAAGTACCTCCAAATCCAAGGGCTCTCCTAATATGTGTCTTAGGTTGTTTTAGCATTGAAATAATACAATACATATATTACATGTGAGGAAATTTGGACCATTAGCGTTTTGATATGTTTATGAAAAAATGTTGAAACCTGCTTTCACTTCGAATCTAATCTTTACACTGTCTGAGTTGTACATGTCAGATTCCGGTCCTCGTACAAAAATGAGGAACGTTTTGTCTTATTCCTATGACATTTTCGTCAAGATTACGACACAGTCAAGAATTATGATGGTTATTCGAATGACCATAAATCTAAACTATGCCAGTCCATATCTTGGCGGTGGCAGAACCGGCCCGGTGTCGTGGAGAGAATGGTTAGATAATGCCACCGACTTGCCTTCAAAGATAACAATATCGTAAAATCATGACTGTCAAAATGTTGGTTGCTTATCGCAAACTGAGTTCTGTGAAGGCTCTGACACGATAAAAGCTAAAGAAGTGTAAAACACTTTCCATGTATGCAATCAACTGATTTCCGAAAATTTGAAACTCCTGTTTGATTTATGAAAAAAGAATTTACTCATCCTACGAGATACGGCGTTGCACCGTGTATACAATGTGCGAGATTAGTAAATAAACTTACACTCAATGTTGAATGTTCTAAATTAGATAAAATATTCTCAATATCTGCTTCTCTGAAGGAACCAGGCTGACACGATAAAGAAACTTGGCGATCCATTTAATCAATTAAACGCTCACCTTCAGAGTATGGTTTTAGTTTACGAAAAGATAATTTCCAATTTCTAAAAAATGGTGTATTGTATGCTTTTTCTGAGACCTAAATATTTAAGATGAACAGTCTCCACACTTCACTGGAACAAATTAGAAGGTGGCCGTGGGCATGACACACGAAAAAAAAGATTTCATAACTTTTCAAAATATGTTTGCAACGAGAAAGAGAAAGAAGAAAACTCCGAATACTTGTTTTTGTGATTTGCCTAATGTTCAGTCAAACAAACATGTTGTCAATATCGATATGAAACAACCTACCATTCTTTTGTTGTGCAGTAGCATATCCTTAACAGTACACACGGACATATAATCTAGCTTAAGTATCATTGCTGTGTTGAGGAAATACATTAGTTCAAATGAACTCCAGGTATCAGATCTCCACTAGTTTCACGTGTAACAAATACTATACCCATATCAATTATGTGAAAACGTGCATGAGAAAAAAAATGACATGTAGTATACAATATCTGACAATATCATTTGTTGAACCAAAGTTGTATGGTTGTATTTATGCAACCATTCTTTCACACACTATGGTGGGAAACATTATCATTTGCATGGATTATCCTATCAAGATGACACTTGACAAATTAGTCTATAATAAGATGTTGTGTCTCCAAATGGATTAAAGCACGTAAGATGATATACGAGCATCCTGACAACTAGCTGTACTCGTACAAGACCTGTTCTGTAACATTACACTGTCAGCTCAGTTAGGTAATCCCTCTAACACGGATCAGAGGGGAGATATTATTTTTGTCACTAAACTGGAAATCAACCTCTCGCCCTTCAAGGCGTATAAGTACCTATTTTAGGATTAGCTCTAAATCCGTATTGTCTTATTTGAATCTACACGTTGGTCCTTACGCCCGAGGTATTTGTCAGTTGAAAGTATTGTACTTGCTTCTTAAATTGATGAAGCGATATTATGAAAAGCCCTGTATAGGAAACTTTGTGTGAATAATCAAAGTGCCATCGCCAGGTGATTCGTCATCAGAATGCCGTTATAAAGAACAGCACGACAACTTACCAATACATTGTTTTTGAGAGACTGTTTTCAGACTTATAAGACATTTTAATTCTAAAATATAGATCTTAAAGTAAAGCAACAGAGACTAGTGAATAAGTGAGTTTATTTTTACGCCGCTTTTAGCAGTATTACAGCAATGTCACGGCGGGGACACCAGATGGGCTTCACATGTACGCATGTTTAGAATCGAACCCGGGTCTTCGGCGTGATGTGCGAAGGCTTTAACTACTAGGCTATCCCACCCCCCCAACAGAGGCAAGCAGAGAGGATTAGAGTATTAAAACTTCTTAAATAACGGTATATGCAACCTGGGCAGGATCCGTGGTGGGGCAGGATACACTGCACTTATCTTTTCGGGAACTAATGGTATCAAGCATATCTTATAATGACGCATAAACACATGCATATGATGGAGATGTAATCGCACTATGGATTTTGCTTTCAGTAGAAATTTCTTATGATTATTGAAATGAATTTCGTAGCTTTTATTTTTTGCATAGTTCAATATAAAGCATTTGTTCCAGATACCTTCAGCGAAAGGTCCATGGGAATTTGAAACATGTCAATCTGGAACTGATTTGTGTGGAGAAACCTGTCTAACGTATTTTAATTTCAATTCATACAGTGGTGGCTCAAGAACGAATGCGAACACGACCTTTAAAAACCACCTGTTTAATTTACAACGGATGTGTCAATTTCTGACGTGACATTCTTTCTCTTATAGCACAGCCACCACCAGAAGAACAGGAAGCCCTACCCCATCATGGTGTACATCCACGGAGGGTCCTACCAGACCGGCATGGGGTCAATGCTAGACGGTGCACCGTTGGCCACACATGAAGTCATCGTCGTCACGATAAACTACAGACTGGGACCTCTCGGTAAATGTTCAACCTTTAATGGTCATAGGTCGGGATCCTTTGTCCAATGTAATTTATTTTCATATTATCAAAGGAAATTGGATTTGTGCAGGAAACGCATATTGACAAAGCGTCATTGTGTGTTCAGGACAAGGGTCTTTGGAATGATAAGTAGAACGTGTTCAGGGTCCCGATCCACAAAGCGTTCCGAGACTAACGCTTAGTCCTTGAATATATATAATTTTTATAGTAACAAATAGATCCATTTAAATTGAAACGGAGCCCCAGTGAGTTGAACCTGGGGAAATCTAGACTGGCTTCATTTAGCGCTTTAGCATTGCAGGGAGGGCTTGGCATTAGGGAAAATAATGTGGTTCGGGGACTGTGAGACAGACTAAAAGCGTTCCTAGTGTTACGAGCAATCGTAAGTATATAGCTTATCATAGGATTACGAATGGCGTTGTGCTACGAACGCTTTGTGGACGCCCCAGGACAGTATCCTGTTCTCGTGAACATTGTCCTGATTTTACAGCGGATTGTAAAAGGAATCCCAAAACATTTGTCAGAAATGGCATTGTTCATGACAACATACTGTACACAGTTATGATTTACTAGAAAATGATTTAGCATTTTGTCGATCATTTGAGGGGATATGTGAACGGTGAATATGCAGGTACACACTCCTGGACACGAAATGCCATTCACACGTTTACTCAAAAACATGCCTGTAAACGTTTGTTTCAATTTAAGCAAATTGAAATGATAACAAAGGGTATGATTGTCTTAGTACCCTGATGACCTCAATTGTTTATTCTTCAAACCGTCCCGGAATGTGTTTAACGTGTTGTCATGACAACGTCGAATGTTTCACATTCCCCAATTACCAAGTGTTGATGTGCACAAACTAAGCTATCGGATCCAGATGTAGATTGCAGGGTTGAATTAGCAATGTCACATGTGCTGGTTTGGTCAGGTGGTCTCACTTCTAATGTTTGCCTTAGGACAAATATGTGGGGAAGTGTTTTTCGTTCAGCGTTTATTTTATCAGAGGTTGACCTTGGCAAGGTGCCTTACTTAATCCTTCCTTCTTGACTCTATGGTCAAGCTATCCTTTTAAACAGTATATTAACAAAAAGTAAAACCTAAGGGAAACAAATAAGAGAACACCTCTTCATGGCAGTGTTCCTCTATTTATTCTCAGATTTCCTCCCACAGCGCGTTATTCAAAGCTGGTGATGAAACCTGGAAAATATTAAAGGAAAACTTGAATTTTCCCGTGTTCCTTTATTTGTTTCCCTCAGTATATATCTGATGATCTCACTGAGTAGTCATATAGTCCAAGTATTTACCCATTCATAGGATGGGCATGTGGTTTGGTTTGTAGAAGTTACAAATTGACACGATTCATTCTTGTACCGTGATCGGTTTTAAAATTACATTTAGCGGTCTTAAATCAACGATAAAGGACCGCAAAATTGAAAACAGAGTAGCTTTTTCTTCTAATTAACATTTTATGAACATTTGACTTGCACTTCCAATTTTGCTATAAAGGTTTCCTGTCTGCTGCGGATTCTGAAATACCTGGAAATTTCGGAATGCTTGACCAAATACAAGCTTTGAAGTGGATAAAGGAGAATATAGCCGGATTTGGTGGTGATCCAGAGCGAGTTACTATAGATGGCCACAGTGCCGGAGGCTGCAGTGTTGGTCTACTGATGTTTTCTCCTTTAGCAAGAGGTACAGTGACTTGATTCTGAAGAACCATCATAGTCAACATTTCTAACCTGAAAGCCCCTTTAACTAAATGATCCCTATGAAATAGATGCTTCGGAATACAGTATACCCTGTATACATCCGAGTGAATTGGAATTGGGATGCATGAACATTGTCCTTATGAAATACTGAAGCGGTTTCAATTGACCAGAAATGGATCTAAAATGAACACGTATTGGCTATGTCTATAAGATTTTACTGATATTGTGCAGTACAATTTACAGAGAATGCATATGATAATAGTTGTCACATATGAATCATGACACATCTATAATGTCATTATGATATTATTTACGTGAATTGTTCAAAATTAAATATTTCTTGTCCACCAGTGAAAAATTATAGCTAAGTTTTATTCAATGTTCTATTCTATGTACATCTGCTCCATAACTTTTCCCATCACATATTTTCTGATGGCTAAAAATGTGTTATATTTACTTATTATCTCCCATCACCATGTTTCGTTTACCTTCTTGCAGGTCTGTTTCAAGGAGTAATTCAGCAAAGCGGCTCCCCCTTTGCTCACTGGGCTTTGACGAGACACAGGAGAGGACCTGACTTTTACTTCAAGTTTTTTTCAGCTGCATTAGGGTGTGCAGCGAATAGCACGAAAGTGATCAAAAAGTGCCTCAAAAGCCTACCGTCCGAAGAGATAGAGAGAATGATATATGAGAAGATTGAGGCAAGTACATACATTTTCATATGCTTTTTTTTAAATCGTGGTATTTTCCTTGAAACGTGTTTTTTTATACCTTTGTTACTCTTTTCGTGAACACCGGGTGTCATCACTGATTTTCAGTGGTCCATTCTTATGACCTTTTTGCCCTCTACATCAATGGAATGAATATCTGAGGTACTCAAAACTGGATATTCTTTTTGCACTGACGTTTTATTTGATATTGTCTACTTGAACGTTCTTATCTGTTCGGAAAAGGTAGCATGTTTTACGGAACCAGTGCAGTGGACGTCATGAAGAAGTGAAGGTCACATTTAATTGTTACTTTTGTTACGGTTGGTCTCATACAACAAGGTGATTAATGAATATAAATAATAGAGGCATCAGACAAGAATCACCGACAGTTTATAGTATAGCCAGTATTTATAGAACACCCCGTTTGGTTCACTACCAGACATTACTGTTATGATTGTTTTACTTATGCTGGTTTATGCCATAGCCAGTATATATAGACATACTCTGCAGATCTCCTAACAGACGGCTTTACTTACAAAATGACACACGAATGATGTCTTTTTGCAATGCCTGATCACTTTAAACTATGCAAGTGGCTAATTATCCTCCGCCGCGCGTTTAGCGTGAAGCGGGGGATATAGTATTAGGCTCCATCCGTCCGTCCGTACGAGTTGGAATATCTTAAGTTCCGTTGACTAGATTCTTTTCATATTTGGTACCTAGGTTCATCACAGTATAAGAAAGGTCCCAGTCAGGTTTGGTGACCTTGACCTTCATTTCAAGGTCACAAGGGGACTTTAACGTTCTACTCTTGTCAGCGAGATATCTCACGAATAGTTTACTAGATTTTCTTCATATTCAACACCAAGCTGTATCTAGGGAAGGCGCAGGGCCCAGTTGGTTTTGGTGACCTTCACATAATTTTCAAGGTCATGGCGACACTTTGAAGATTTCAGCAAATTAACCTGCATGTTATGCTTGTCAGCGAGATACCTCAAGAACCATTCCCTGGATTGTCTTCATATTTGACGCTAAGCTTCATCCAGGGAAGGCGCGGGGCCCAGTCGATTATGGTGACCTTCACTTAATTTTCAAGGTCACAGAGACACTTAGAAGATTTCAGCATGTTAACCTGAATTCACTGGATTTTCTTCATAGACTTTCAAGACTTCCCTTGAATGTTTTTCAATAAGCAATTTCTTTAGAAGCACTTTTGCGTATTTCATACACTATGACATTTATGTCAAGGTCAAAGTCAGTCTTGAAGATATTTGTGTGTTTGAACAACTAAAGAGCAATATATAAAGAGTGGTTGACTGGTCATGTTTTTGTTGACATTTAACTTCATCTCAAACTTTCATTACTTTTTAAGTTTGATTTGATAATTTGCGGCGGGGGATTATGTCACCTTAGTGACAATGCTTGTTCTAATGTCAGTTCTATTCTTCTATGCATACTGGTATACATTCAATACTACTAAAGGTACCCACAATAATAGTCCTCAGTACAATTGAACCTTGTTATTCCGAGAAAATGTAATCCAAATAATGGGTTTACGATTTACAAAAATGGGAGTGGAATAATAGTGTGTGAGTGAGTGAGTATGGTGTTACGTCGCTTTTAGCAATGTTCCAACAACATCCCGGAGGGGGACACCAGAAATTGTACCCGTTTGGGGAATCGAACCCAGGTCTTCAGCGTGACGGGCGGACGCTGGAACCACTGGGCTACCCCACCGCCCCTGAATAATAGTGTATCAGCATCATCGATTAACCATTTAAACATGTCCGTACAATAGAAGGTGTACTGTATTTGAATGCTTTGCATTACGCTACGTGATTATTGTCACGCAATACCCAGCTTACCATTGCGTGTTGTGAGAGCCGGGCTGCGGTCTGGGGTCTCTGGTTTGCTGTAACTGATTGGATCGTTGCTCGTGTTTTCAGCCACTGGTTTCCTGACCCAAACCCGATTATTTAAAGACTACAACTATCTGAAGTATTAATGTGGCGTGAAAACAACATCCATTCACTCACTCACGCATGTCATTGATACACATTCCCACAACTGAAATAAATCGATGAGCTTAAGCATTTATTACAAACCCAGTCCACACCAAAGACAGACACCTTTCAAATGTGTCAAATACTCGGCGGGATTTGTTTTATTCCGAATCATGCCGCCGGGAACAATCAATGCCGGGAGATTTGCGCCAAACTTTACATAGTATAGAATGTCGGCCTGGGCCCGGATAGGCTAGCATACTGACACATATTTCTCGTTCGTCAATAGAGGACTACAGACCCAGTTGTACTGTTATGTTCTACAGCTTGATATAATGATTTTGTCTTTTATACCGTTTAAGTGAAGAGATTTTCATCTGAGCTTAAAGAATTTAAGAACAATCAGTTTAGACTGATCATGATGTTGGATGTTAAATATACCATTCATTCATAATCTCATTCATTTATTCATTATTTACTATTCATTTTTTTTCTCGGATTTCCATTTTTTCAGTCTGTGGTTCTTTTCATATTTTATTCATACTTGGATCATCAAGAATTGCATCATATACACTATGCAATGCTTTTATCAATAATGTTTTTCGTCCATCATCCACCTTTTCCATTTAGTTAATTTCAGATCAATGCATTTTTATCGCGTAACACAATCACAGTTTGCGTTTTTACGCGGGTTTTGTCACGACGCTTACAACAACGTGAGCTTGTCGTTATCTTCGATTGCCAGCATTATACAGTCCCATCGTGTCTAGCGCTATCTTTCACTATGTACTTGTAATCTTTCGAAGAACAAAGAAGCAGGTTAGCAAACTTGTTCACGCACTGGTTTATCACGTCGAAGTATCTGCTCGATTTCCAGCGTGAATAAAACGTACGATGCCGGTGCTTTGTGGAATTACATCTTACTCACTCTAGAAGGACCATCCATAACAATGTAATATGAAATTTATATTTTGGATCCCATAATTTCATGTACAGTCTGTTTGATTTAATTTGAGACCGACGAATTGCTCACTAACACAAAATCTAATAGTTGCAACAAAACCAAATGTTGTAGTCACATGAAAAAGTTGTTTAACAAACGAACATTAATTTGTTGTCACTGTTCGCTCTAAGTTACGGGGGGGCAACTTGCTGGTTGGACAGCCAGGTGTTCGAGTTGCACTTGTGAAATTGAAATTTTACTACACGTTGTCTGTTGATTGATTACCTGGCAGTTCTACCAGCAAGAGCCCCCACACACACACACCCCCAGCCTCGTAAAATTAGCGAAAAGTGACATCATAATGATGATCGTTTGTTAAACAACCTTTGTATTCCTATGACCAAAATTATCAGAGTTGGTCTGTCTATTTCATGTGACTGTGCAAACTTTAGGTTTGTTGCAACGATCAGATTTTGTGTTAGTGACCAATTCATCGGTCTCAAATGAAATCAAACGGACTGTAGGCTGGAATGTTCTGCCTGAAGGTACCATCGCTGAGTCTCTATTCAGAAAATGATCATACTCTTACCTAACGTATTTGGCACACTGCCCCAAATAAAAGCATCGCAGATTGATCAACAGCTCATCGTAGTCCGGCGGATATTTTCAAGATGGGGATACGATAAAACACGATAGGCTTCGATAGATTTTAGATTAGGTGTACTAGCGTTCTAATTTTTCTTGAACCTTGAATGTCGATTTTCGGGTTTCGGGACGGAAAGGACTTTGTAGTGACGGTTGTTGAAGTAAATGTATAGTTTGTGATCAAAGCTCTTTGAAAAGTTTTCTATTTCTTTTATTGCCGAGTCTATGTTCCATTAAGGCTATGGATTTATATCCTTATACTTAAGCATGGCGTTACCGTGAAGTGTCAAATTTACGTTCTGACACGTTGTGTTTTGGCAAAACACAAGAGGCGAAAACATAACTTTATGCAACTTACGTAACATAACTGATATTACTTTTTGACACAAAGTAATAAATCATATGCTTCATATCAGTTATCGCTATTATCTCTGTATGGGTTACGGTTTGACGCTGTTTGTTATCTCCCACGTTTACGTCAGCATTGCTATATCAAATGCTTCTATAACTCTCTTTAGACCTTTCACGACCAACCATTTTCCTCCGCCATTGTGATATATGATCAAATTCACTGCGGGCCTCTCTCATCGAGCGACTCTCCTCTGCAGGGGAGTTAACTTGTGTTTCATTCGTATAAAGATTTATCATATGCATGCAGAAATATACGTCTACGCCTGCGGCTATTATGATGCGTTGTCAAGACAACCAACAAGATAGCTTGGATTTATTTGCTAGATCAACCGTGATAAAGGGTGAGGAAGGGGGTTCGGTGTGAGAGTTATCTCCCTTGATTTACACTTACACCCGGCGAGCTTCCTCATCAGATTGGGTCTAGTTCCTCCATCCACGGCACGACCGCATACAGAGATGAAAAAAGCTGCATTGATATTTGCACGGATACATTACCTGGGCGTCTGATGAACAATGACAGGCGTGGATGGTTCTAAACTGAGACGTTTTATCAAATATCAAAGAAAGATCCTGACATTCCCGGCCGAGGCAACAAAACAGTTGGTGCCGATGTAAAGCACTGCGTGATATAATCTTAACCAACCGTATTCATACGTAGCCGGTTACCTTGCAATCTTGATTACAGCGGTATTGTTATAAGTTATCGTTCATATGATTTAGTTTGATATCACTTCTCCTCTACGTAAGAACTACAGTCGTATATCCGCACCCATTGGGAAATGTGGTCCTTCTGCCAGTAGTTAAATTTTCTTGAATAAAAACCTACTGTTATAATAGTCGGCGCTATGGTCGGTTGTAATATAAATTCTGACTTTTTTGCACTACTATAATCATTTGTGAGACAAGCTGTGAGTTTTATACCTCACCAACATTAAAGAAACACAGAAACCATAGTGTTACCAGTGTGCAATTATATGGAATCGGTAATATCCATTATGTGGATTGTAAGCGTGGGCCATTTGTCTGAGGCGATGAATCTCGCCACGCCAAGTTGCGTACCCAAGTATCCAAGTAATCCACGCAGATGGATATGAATCACATATTTGACGGGAATATGAGCCATACTTTGTCAGCACCATACAAGTGCTCGTTGGTTTACAAATAGTCTGTCATACAGACCCGGAAACAAATATATCCAAGAAAGCCCAAGCAAGTCTAGAATATGTGGCAAGTCTAGATTACCACAGTTTCAGAAAATGAAAATGAAGAGAGTCCACTAGGCTCCTTTTCTTTATATTTTCTGATTAATATTTGTAAAACAGTTGTTTCTGTAAAATATGTTCATTTCAGAGACTAAATGTTAGTCTAGTTTACTAACTGAAAGTGGATTTTCCTCCACTATTAAGATGTCAAATAAATGACCCAGTAATTAATAGGTGATTTTAAGGAACACAAAATAGTGTTTTGGGGAATATCCATTTATTAGATTCTTAAAAATCACTTCGCAACGCCACATAATATAAACAAACATGGATATCTTTTAGGAAGCCTGTTTTATCCATTGAAGCCATATTTCTTTCTCGATGGTTTCCTCATAGATTCCTAATACTGTAGGAATCCACTACCCTTAAACGTTGGACTGAAGAACAAAACGGTACATGGCTTATGTGATCAGTGCAAACGTAGATACGACTGTACCCCATCTGTGGTCAGAGGCGAGTGGTTCATGCACTCCCTGTAATTATTGCTGGCGACAATCACATCACCATGTCCGATCGTTACATTCTATATAACCTGCCATATTTGAAATTCATTTATCTGTAATTTCTTCCTATCCCGACTAACTATGCTTTACAGTGATCAATAATCAATATATTTTCTTGTGTTGTAGATGCCTTTGTCTCTTGTCCCCCCAGTTCCGACCGGTTGTCGATGGTTACTTCCTGCCAGACACGCCAGAAAGACTAGCGGTCAAAGGTCCAGTGAACGCTAAGTACTTCCTGACGGGCGCCACACAAGATGAGGGTGTCATTGCGGGTAGGTTTACAACAGCTTTAACCCATACAGTGAATATAAAATATTATATTTCAGTAGTAGGAACACCTTAATTTGACAATTTGGGCAGGACATGCTTATACCAAGTGTCATCACAAAGTTCCAATGGTTCATTCAAATAATTTGTCTATTTTGCCCTTTACGCCAAATGGAATCAGTCAGAAGATTGATTATCCTCGTACAGTGACATTTTCATTTCATGAAAGGTAGCATCTGTTTTAACTGTAAAACATGAAACTGATGTTTAGGTATGTTAATAAAAAAAACCAATCATCAAGGAAATCATGTTAAATAATTTCATGCTTTTATGCAACATGAATTTGAAAATGTTACGAAATTGGTTTGATTTAAATAGCATCTTCATCCAGTTTATGTAAATATTTGTATTTCATCCAGACGTAATTTAAAGAAATGTTTCTTTTCAACTTGGACGTTATGTATAGCTTTGCCATCACATTCTAAAAGAGGATAAAAGTATGCGGGTAATTTGTAAATCGACTTATTTTGAATATATAGAATCATGCCAATACTGTGATATCTCGTAGAAAGGAATATGCAAAGGAATAAAAAGGAAACTACGTTATATGCAGGTATTTCTCTGCAAGAAGATCAGTACTGATTATCGCGTCTTTAATGTTTTTTTACCTTTGTTCTCTTTGATAATCTTTAAGAAACAAACTGACTTTGTTACAGCAATACCGTTCGTAGAGGAACACGGAACAGGCAAACATGGCTCCCAAAAGTTATTGGCAGTCATGAACTGCTTCCGGGGTGATCTACCGGAAGTAGAAGGAATTGTGGGTATGTAGAACAGTTTTTAAAGCATGTATTCAAAGTCATTTTCGTCGAGCACTAATGTTTGAAAGAGAGAGACACCGTAATATACTCATGCCAATAATGGTTGTCACCCCTTTCATTTTTTTTTTATTGGAGAGTGTGTGTGAGGTGGGGGTGTGAGGTGTGTGTGGGGTTTGGGTGGGGAGGGGGTCGACAACCATTACTGGCATGAGTATATATATGTATGAGTATGATATATATGTATTCCTTAAATATAAGTAATACACTAAAGGAACCGCGAGAGAATTCACACACTGAGATTATATAGGGCAAGGTTTTCCTAAGTATGTCTCTCTATAATAGACAGCGGCAGCTTTGATGGGATTGACGAGCTTATATCCGAAGCTTATGTCCAAAGGTAATCCAATTCACTATTAAACAGTTCAAGCCTTGACACAATGCGGATGACCTCGTCAAACGAAAGTAACCGTACTTAATCCAGACTAAATAGATTTGTTTTTAACCTAATGGAAGATATTGAAACGTACAAGTATATACATTTCGTCTGTAGCGGAGACATATCCAAACTTTAAAGTCATTAGTATGAAGTTCAAAACGGTCGGCGTTAATAAATGCGGCGTAAGAGTATAACCCTGTCTTTGCCTTGTCACCCGAGGCCTCTAACCTTCAGACCCCTTCCTCTCAGCACCATTGATCTCACAGATCGATATCTCTTCAGTGACATCGATTACTATATAGAAATCAACCAAGATTCAATCCTAAATGGGTCTTGATCTACCAGGAGCTTAAGATTGTCTCTCTGGTAAAGGTCATGGAAGTGACAAAGCCGGAAGTCCATGTCGTCAACAAAGACGACGTCAACAGTAGTTATTGTAGAAAGATTACGCAAAGAGGAAGACCACGGGGGGTCCTGGGTTTTCGAAAAGTGTGAATGTGCATTATATTACGGTTTGGGCCAATAGGCGAAGTCAAGTTCCATTGAAGCGTAAATTCTGAATTATGTTTTCTTTAAGAGACTTGGCGTGGGGTCTTTATTTTCCCATTTTCAACGAGAAATAATTATATCTGATCTGTTAAATGTCAAAAGTAATGGAAAAATGTTGGTTTTATTGGATATTGATTTTGGTTATGTTATGATTAAGCGACTACAGTTCACCAGGTGTAGGTTGAAGTGTGATTATGGAAGAAAATAGGTTTGTACGCGCATGTGAATGACTTGCTAAAATATAGGTTACATGATTGTTAACTTAGTGTTTCTCGGTAATGGCAATTGTCCTCATTTCTCTTTCACCACGTGCACGTATTTCAAGTTTACATTTCAGTTTCTCGAAGTACACTTTATTTATCTCTTTATAGATTGGGTTGTTACAATTGTTGTGCCCCGATACGACTCCGCTCCTGATACAATATCGCGTAGTGATATCATGTATTGATATGAAATGATACGATTGGGACATGTTATATGGTATATAATGAGTGAGTGGATTTAGTTTTACGCCGATCACAGCAATATTCCAGCAATATCACGGCAGGGAACACCAGAAATGGACTTCACACATTGTACCCATGTGGGTAATCGAACGCGGGTCTTCGGCGTGACGAGTGAACGCTTTAACCACTGAGCTACCCCACCGCCCCGGTATGTAATGATGTTAAGGAAGGTGTGATGAGGTTTGTCATGTCTTCATCAGTTTGATTATCAATAGTCCACTATACCATGGATGCTACGAAGAGCAAATTTGATTTTACCGCTGTAGTCTCCCACGTCGCGCCTATATATCGATATAGCAATTGCATCGCTACAACACATATCGCAACAGATGTTTGGTAGAAATGACCACTATCAGGCATCAGCGTTATCTGATATAGTGATTAATAACAAATGCTCATTATCCGGGTTAGAATTGGTCTTCAGCAAACAATGCGTGTCGTAAAAGGCGAGTAACGACTCGCTGACTCGGTTAAAGCGTGTCATCGTGTCCCAATAACGTTGATCGATGCCGATGATACCAATCACTCGATTGTCGGATTTAGACTTGATTATCTACACACAGCCGTCATATAGAGTTGTCGTACGGCGTTAACGTGAGTGAGTGAGTATGGTTTTACGCCGCATTTAGCAATAATCCAGCAATATCAAGGCGTAAACACCATAAATAGGCTTCACACATTGTACCCATGTGAGGGATCGAGCCTGTGTCTTCGAAATTCCCTTCGGTTCTATATAACTTCGAAGGAAATATTTGCGGGGGACACCACAAATGGGCATCACAGAACCACCCATGTGGGTATTCAAACTCGGATCTTCGGCGTGACGAGCGAACGCTTTAACCACTAGGCTACCCCACCGCCCCGTACGGCGTTAAGCACCAAACATGATATAGTATGAATCGTACCATGGACTCGAGGATTTCTTATTATTGTAAAGAGTGTCTTTGTCCATTTTTTCACACAAACGTGATCTGAAAATCTCAGTTTGTATTTATTGTGGTACAATACTAATCACATGTCCAGAATATTGCTAGTTTTTGTGGAAATTGTTTTGTAGCTTTTCTTTACATACCTGATCTTGCAGTTTGAATAAGTTGTATTTCAAATAAAATTAATACAACCATTATCTCGAAGTTAAAGGGACCTACGTAAATAGTTATCCGAGGTTCTACACAACCGTAAAATGACTAAAAAAGAAATACGTAGACACCAAGCTTTTGCATCGAGATAACCGTGTGTTCGACACAACGGTCCTATTACCT